TCTGATTCCTAAGTCTGCATCTTATGACTTGAACAAAATACCAAACCTTTTTTTGCCTATTTCCTCATGTACAAAACGAGGACAATTCCATCTTCTTCATAGGGTTATTGTGAGGATTAAATGAGACAATATACAGAGAGCATTTAGCACATTCTGGAACATGGTAAACAGTTGGTACATGGCTGCAATTATAAAGAGGTAGTTAAAAACTTTTGCTCCTTTCTGAAAGACAACGAGGTTGAAGAAATGTCTAAAGCCAAACTACCTGGCAGGAACTATGCTCATACATGAGACCCAGAATATCTGAATACTTGGAGTAGAAGACAGAATAGGTTTTCTTCAAATGAAGAAGTAAAGGAGAGTTAAACAGTAGTAGGGAACACTGAAAGTTCATTAAAGATGAAAACTGGGTCTTAACAGAGACCCACTGGATGGTATTTTGTAATTTGCTATATTGTCCTCTTTGTTCGATCTCTAGCCTGAGTTTAACCAAGGAACATTGAGAAATGGGGTTAGAGATTTCACAGATCAAATGGAGTCCTCTGTTACTGGCTGCATCTGCTCAGAGGATGGATGGAATCAGTCCTATCTGAGAGGAGCAGGGTGCCGAGCTAGTCAGTTTTTTTAATGCAAAAAATTTTATCATCAGTGTATTTGACAACACTTGCCTGTGAACAACCTCATCTCCCCCTGCCCCCCACCCTGCTTTATACCCAAATGTCCTCAGTTTCCTAGTGAAGTCCGCACAAGCTTAACTGGATTGATTCTTTGCTCAAGTCTTACAAGGTGAAACTCAAAATGTCTACAGAGCTGGGCTCTTATCTTGAGGGTCTGGGGAAGATTCTGTTTCTGAGCTCATTTAGGTCATCGACAGAATCAAGTTCCCTGTTGTTATAGATTGAGGTCCCTGTTTCCTTGCTGGCTGTTAGCCAGGGGTCACTGTCGGCTCCTCAAGGTCCTTTCCATGTGGCCTCCTCCATCTTAAAAACAGGCAGTGGGCCATCAAATCCTTCCAGTGTTTTGACCAGCTGGAGAAAATGCTCCACTTTTAAAGATTTTATTTATTTTTAGAGATAGGGGAAGGGAGGGATAAAGAGAGAGAAACATCAATTGGTTGCCTCTTGCACACCCCCAACTAGGGATCTGGCCCACAACCCAGGCATGTGCCCTGTCTGGGGATTGAACTAGTGACCTTTCAGTTTGTAGGACAATGCCCAACCCACTGAGACACACCAGCCAGGGCGAAAACTCTCTGCTTCCAAAGGGCCTATGTGACTACCCAGATAATTTCTCTATCTTAAGGTCAACTGATTAATAACCTTAATCACATCATCAAGAACCCTTCAAAACAGTACCTTGAATTAGTGTTTGATTGAATAACTAAGGAGGAATCTTGGGTAGCCATGTAAGAATTATGCTTCCGTAGCATAGCTGCAAACCCCTGAAAAGTTATCCCTCAGGGTCCTTGACATTTGATCTTCATGAGTGTTGAGAAGCTACTAGTTTGTGGCTCATTTCTTTCAGCACTGATTGGAAGCCTCAGATTTCCCAGCTTCTTTCACAAGATGCTGGTATCCAAAGCTCTATTTTTTCTCATTCAAGACAAGGATCCAAGTCAGTCAAAAATGCTGGTACTTGTCCTAGGGAATCCTTCCTTCTGGAAAATTTCTACATAAAATATATAAAAAGCAAATCTTAAAAACCCAACAGGAAGGATGTTACATTTGATAATGATTCACATGGGGTTTATTTACCTACCCACTTTTCTGTTTTGAGGCATTAATAATCTGGGAAGATGGACAGGCAAATAACTCATTATAATTCAATGAGATAAATGCTGTAATAGAGCCATATAAGGTCACACACTTCCTGTAATTGAAGACACCTTTGATTGTAGGATGCACCATCAAATTCCAACAGCTTTTTGAGACATTAAAAATATCTTATCAAATGCATATGTTTTTAAAAACTTGACAGACAACAGCAGACATGTATCGCTGAAATTACTAGATTCTTTTCTAAATCAATGTTTGAGACAAGTTTTTTGTGAAGAGTCTAACTCTATTTGGATCTACACAGCCATTCCTAAAATGTGAATCTGTGATCAGTTCTAGCTCTGAAAGTTTTTTGACCATTACTGAGAATTTAGTTGAAGTCACACATCTGCAAGCAATGGCAGTTATGTTATTTTTCCATTGATTTTTCTGTCTATCTGGTATCTGGTTAGTTTCTTTTAATATTGACTGTAAGACCTATCCCAGTTTCAGAAGAATTACAATGTGAAAAAAACTTGGGGCTTATTTTTTGAAGACAAAGGGTTTTTAAAGTGCTCCTGGGAAATAAAAGAGGAAGTGATTAAGTCAGCCTGGGGAAGAAGGTGACCTTTGAGGTGGGTCTGGCAAGTTGTCTGGGAATTTCCCAGGCAGTTAGGAGGCTAAAAGGTATTCCAGGCCCAGAGGAACCTGTATTACGGCGCTTATCTGAAGCTCTCCTCTTCATACCACTCTATTCCCATGAGTCTTGTAAATTCTTGAGGCCATGAATGAATTCTATCTCCCACAATGACCATTCAGCTCATTGTTGCCATTTAATTTTATTTACTCATTTCATATTTGCTAACTTTATACTTACTGACGAGTAGTATTTCAAGTAGCTCACTATAGAAAACTTGGTAAATGCAAAGAAGCAAATAAATCCCACACAAATCCACTTTAAGTTCACCACATTGAGAAACCACTGTGAATATATTGGTGCCTATGCTTCAAGGTTTTTTCCTATTGATATGCACATCTAATCTATATACTTTTAGAGCATTAATGGTATCACAATATATTTATTAGTTCCTAATTTGTTATTTTTACTTAGCCATTACATTAGAAATACTGGTCATTGTTTGCCTAACCAGCATCCCACTGAAGAATATAATGCCCAGCTCATAGCTTTTTGTCCTTAACTGGCTGTATCTCCTGACCACAGTTAATTGAGCTAAAGGATTGGTATCTGATCCAAGGCTGGTGTCTGAGTCAGAGACATACCCATGGGGTGAAAAAACAAGCTGTGTCAATCATATGACATTATGTTACAGAACTGGGCAACTGAGAGCATTCACAGTGGAGCTGGTGGTGTAAGGGTGCCATGGCCTTGGATTAAGGCCACGGCAAGACAAATAGAAGCCAGAGTTGTGAGGGAGCAGAAGCAGAATGGAGGAAGCTGGTTGTCAAAGAAAGGAAGGTAGAGCAGGCCCATGGGGAAGCAGAGCTGCACAGCGGGACAAACAAATCCTATGCCTTCAATCTTCCATTACTCCTGGTTTTTCTTGCTCTGGGTCCACGTACATATCTATTATAAATGCCTCCCTTCTGGCCCTTTTTCCTTAAGAGGTGAAATGAGAGGGTCGCTATTCCTTGCAGCCAGTGTGCCTCACCGGAACCACACGTCATCTCTGCTATGGCTGCACAGCATCACGTTGTGTGGAGGTGCCGTCACGGATTTAAAAACCTAGCGAGAGGCATTCAAGACCTCTCCAATGAGCATCGTCATCACCAATATTTTTCACTATGAAAGATAATTTTGTTATTATCTATTCCTACAGGTAGAATTCCTTGATTGGAGGGGAGCCACGTAATGCCAAATTGGACTTTAGAAAGACTGCGGCAATTTATAGCCCAACGGCAAGACATGGCAGTGGTTGATTTTTCACCCCTTTGCCAATACTATTAATTAAAAACAAAACAAAACATTGCACCTCTAACAGGCAAGAAGTGGTAAGTGGTCAGATATAGTCTTAATGTCCATTTCTCTGAATGTGGTTATTGACCAGATAGGTGGGCTTTGTCATTAGACAGACCTGGGTTTGAGTTCCCGCCCTGCCTTTGGCTGTGTGGCTTCAGCAGAGTTACTTAGTTTTCCATTGTCTCATCTGTAAATTGGAGATAATAATGGCTCTTACTTTGTAGGTTTATTATGAGGCTTAGATTAGAAAATAAATACAAAACAGTCTAGTAAAAACTCTGTACATTTACTTACAGTTATGAAGAATGACTTAATTTGTGACCACCAGATAAAGCTATGTGAGCTATCTGAAAGTCAATTGGATGTTGATTTAAATACCAGTTAGAACTGCATACTCCTAGGAATAAGAATGCAAGAATGCATAGGTGAAAATGCCCATTACACAGCTGAAAATATTGAGTGGGGACTTCCAGAGGGTCTGGTCTGGAGATGTATTTAGGGCTCTTCACCACTTTAAGGTGAGCGTGAATGAAGTAATTAAGAAAGAGTGCACAAAGAAAGAGGCGGAACAGGGCTGAGGACAGAATTCTGTCGAATACCAATTATTTTAAGGGCAGCGTACAAGGTGCAGGGCGAAGAGCCTTGTAAGGGGCAGTGCCTCCCCTAAAAAGAACTTGCAAAGATCAGCGGCAGTGAACCCAAGATGGAGAAGTTTGGACAAACACATCTCCTGCTTTAACATCCACTTCTGAAATACTAGGAGGGTCGAGCAGTTCAAATCCGGCAGCTGCTGGCCAATCTAGGAGAGAACCGAGGCGAGACTGCCAGACTTTGCGGTCCCCGATGGCAGTATGGGTCCTGCTTGTGTCCAATAAGAACACACTAGGCCACTTCGAAGGGCGCCCTCCTTTAGCCCTTTGGTGCAGAATTTTACTCAGCAGGTAGGGGGAGGAACCCACGTGTTTTATTTCAAGCCACCGACAGAGGCGGCCTTTTGGTCGGAGGGAAGGATGAGCTGGCGGCGCGAGAGATTAAGGCTCTAGGGCGGGGCAGGCCTTCCTAGCCAGCCGAGCCGTGCGCGGCCGGACTGGCCACTGGCTCCGCCTCCTTTCTTCCGCCTCCAGTCGGCGCCTAGAAGGCTGGGGCGGGGCTAGGGGCGGGACAGGCCTGCTCGGGCCCCGCCCCCTTCCGCCCGCTCCCTTCGGCACAGCAGGGTGCGGCCGCTGGGGCGGGGCCTCTGGGCGGGGCCGGCGGCGCGGGGCGGGACCTCAGGGAACAGGACAGCCCGCGCTCTCTGCAGGAGCTGCACCGCCGCCGCCCGCGCCTCTAAGGTCTCACCGCTTCCTCAGCAGAGACCTGGGCTCAGCCGCCATGTCCGCCACGGACGAGGTTGACGGACTGAGCGTTTCCCGGCCGCACTATGGCTGTGAGTGCGGGGCTCTGCGGCGCGGGGGTCTCGGGGCTGGGTCCTCTGCTTCCCAGGCGCCGTTTTCCCGGGAGGGGGTCTACCAGGCGGGTGGGGCAGGGCGGCCGTGGGCCGCGCGGACCCGGAAGAGCCGGGGCGATGGGCGGGAGGGGTGGCGGGCGGCGAGGCTCCCAGCCCGCGCCCCTCGGTCTCCGAGGCGGCGGGGGGACCCGGGAGGTCTCCACGCTTTAGCCGGGGCGTTGAGGCTGGAGGGCCTCACCCAGCGCCGCCCACTGCCCAGCTCGACCGTGATTGAGGGGGACGGCCTAGGGTGAGGTGGCAGGAGGACCGTGCAGGGCGTGTCCCGGGACCGGAGGCGAGGGCTCTGCTCGTTCTTGGAGGGGAGCTGCCGCCCTGTGTGCAGGCGAGGGAGACCCTGGGTCCAGACCTGCCGGCCCCGGGCGAGTCCCTTCAGCTCTCTCCGGCTAGTTCCCTCGTCAGGATTTCAGAAGTAAAAACAAAAACAAAAAAACACCCCAAAAAACACACAAAAAACCCTCCGTCTGACTTCCTCATTTACTGTAGCTGCCCCTGGGACGTCATTGAACTGCAAGCGGGATAGTCAGTGCTCGCCAAAGGAGAGTCCTTTGCCTGAGGTTTTCGGTTTTATTTTATATTCTGGGAGTAATGCTCTATTTTTAAGATAATTTCACTCATCAACAGTTACATGTGTGACACTGTGTCAGGTTTGTGAAATTAAAGGCGAGTGAGGCCAGGCCCTGCCTTCCAAGAGCGTTTGAATCAGAGAGAGAGACAGAGAGAGAGAGAGAGAGAGAGAGAGAGAGAGAGAGAGGCAGGTGTACAACCCAATGATAGTAAAGTGTAATGAAGATAAAAGATGCGTGAACCAACTGGGCATGAACAAACAGCAGCGTGGGTGAGCACAGGCGTCGGGAGAGGGGACCCACAGTAGTGACTTTGGAACAGAGCCTTGAACTGTGGGGTCAAGGTTGACGGGGCAGGAGAGGTGACTGGAAGCCAGGAGAGCGGCAAGGAAGGTGCTGAATGGTAGGAAGGCGCTGCGAGGTGCGAGGTGCGAGTGGAGTGCACAGCGGTGGCCGGGAAGGGCAGGGGGAGGGAGCCGAGTTCCCAAAAGCCGTTGGTGCTAAATTGGGAAAGGCCCGGACTGCCATCCCAAGGAGTGAGGAATTTGTTCCCGCTCCGGGGTGTCCACGCAGCGGGTAGATGGCGGCGAGGTGAGGCCCACAGCCTTTTGAGATGGGCCGCCTGGGTTTGAATCCAGGCCCCACCACTTATTAGCCGCGGGGCTCCCATCGCCCTGCCTCAGTGTCCTCATCTGTAAAATGTGAGTGATGTTCATGATTGTTATGGGGCTTCCGGGAGAGAATGCACGTAAAATACTTAGCCCAATTGCTGCCACTTTGTTCTCCGTGACTGGACTGCTGACGTGGGTTATCGATAAACGAGGGAAACAGCATGATCAGCCATGTATTTAGAAAGAGTCTGGCAGGTGGACCAGGACAGTTTTGACCTCCAATCTCCAGTCATTATTTTTCAAGTTAAGCTAACATAGTACATATTCATGTTATCATACTTCAAAATAAGAAAAAAAGATAAGGTGGGTATAGTTGAAACCCCCTAATTCCTGTTTAGGGAAGTCCCTGTCGTCCTGGCTGGCCACACATCTACAGGTGACCCTGACTCTTAAGTGACAAGCAGGAATTTGATGATGTGGCATTTTCTTGTATTGCTCAGAAAGGTTACAGATTCTCTTGTTCGCATTCTCTCATATTTTAGCTGTCCTGGACAATGAGAGACTCACTGCGGAGGAGATGGATGAACGGAGACGTCAGAACGTGGCTTACGAATACCTTTGCCATTTGGAAGAAGCAAAGAGGTAACGACTGGCCGTCTGGCAAGAAGCTTGGGTGAAGGGAGCTGACTGGTGTGAACACGGATGAAGGTCCCTGAGTGTGCTGTGCGTGTGCCCGAGGGAGGCTGGCGATGTGAAGGGATGAGTATAGGTAGGGTTTAACCTTGGTGGCACTTTTGTCATGAAACGCTGATGGTCTTTTTGGTGTACTGAAAAACATCCAGCTTTGTGTTCTGTTTTATGCCTATGGTGCATGTTTGGGGTACTACCAGCTTTGGGGGAGAAATAGCATTTTTAGGGTTCTTGCCTTTAATGTTTCACTGGCTCTTCACTGGTTTTAATTTATATACGAACTGGGTTCCTTCTCTCCTTGGTAGTGCTATGGGTACAGGTCCATCCAGTTGGCAGTATTCAAAGACAGCTTAGCAAAAGCAGCATCCTCTGCATTCCTTTTTATTTTTATTTTTTTTTAAGATTTCATTTATTTATTTTTAGAGAGACAGGAAGGGAGAAAGAAAGGGAAAGAAACATCAGTGTGGGGTTGCCTCTCATGAGCCCCCTACTGGGGACCAGCCCGCAACCCAGGCCTGTGTCCTGACGGGGAATCAAAACGGGTGACCCCTGGGTTCCCAGGCTGGTGCTCAGTCCGCTGGGCCACACCTGCCAGGGCATGCATTCCTTGTGAGTGTATAGCTGCTCTTTTCCTTTTTCAGATGCTTCAAGACCTTGTGGTCTTCTGAGTGTCGATATGCTATCCGTGTTCATTTCTTTTGTTCTGCTTCTGTTTTCCTGAATGTCCCAGGGTAGACAGATGTATTTAATTACAGATCAGGTATCCTATAAGTGAGCTTTGGTGGAAAAGACCAGCAAGAGATAATGAAAGGTATGTGTGACCCATAGTCTAATGAAAATCATGGATGTTTTAAATGTTACTACTATTAAACAAGTTTTGAAAAAAATTCCGAAAATATTAAAATGCTACAGGAAAGTCCAAGAACAATACAGCAAACATCCGTGTACTGCAGAAGGAACTTAAGCCCTTCAGATCTTTCCCTTTCCTCTCAAAAAGACACAAGTGGAGTTCCCTTCGCGCCCCTCCCTGGTCCCATTCCCCTTCTTCCTGTCCCTGGGGCCACCACATACGTGCATATGGTGTGTCCTCTTGCATCCAGACTTCTTTCCTGAGCTTGAGGCCCTTCCAGGAGGCTGGGGGAGGGGTGGGGTGGGATTAGTGATGATTTCGGTGAAGAGAATTGTTTTTCTAAATGGAAGGTTAGACACCAGATGGATATGTTATTAGAAAAGGTGTTGGTTCTTATACAAAGTTTGTCACGGCCCCTTGAACAAGAATATGAAGTCCTTTGCTCCTTCAGTTGTGGACTAGATCTAGTCTTGGAAGGTCAAGAAATTTGGAAGCTGCAGCTGGACTGAGAGACCAGTTAGTGCTCTGTGAAGCCTGGGAGACGCGCAGGGGGAGCCTCCGCTCACCTTCCTTCCCTGTCCAGAGCAGTTCTGCCTCTGTATTGATGCTGGGTTTCTGCAGCGACCTTCCCTCGTTGCAGAGGGTGTCTGGGCTGACATCCCTCCCCCACCCCCGCCACCTCTAATCTAGTCCGACCATCTCGTTCCAGCGCTGGGGTATTAGAGCCTGAATAGAATGATGCTTTTATAACCCCATTTCCTTCTTCAGTCACTGCCCTTGCAAGGCATTTCATTTGTCAGGTGTTTTTTTCAGTCTGGGAAGGTAGCCCATTTCCTTTAAAACCCATCCAGGGGGCCATGATCCTCTGGGATGTTTTTCAGTTGGGTGTTTTTGCATACTTAGGAGGTGACTAACTCAGTGAGACACTTGTAATCGTATTTATTTTTTACGCTTTGATTGTAAGGGGGGACATGATAGTGGCATATTTGCCCAGGTATACTCTGCCTGCTGGCCTGACATTGTGGAAATGTGCTTGCTTTATTTTATTGAGGCGATCATATAAAATCTCAATGTGGTAATGTTTTGGTTTAAAGTTTTGATTAGAAAATCAATTTCGGAAGCACCTATTTAGGTTTTTCAATGAGTTAGTGTTCAGGAAAGGAGCCCAGGAACGTCCTGTGAGGGACGAGGACTGGATGGATCCCTCCTGCTCACCTCCTGTAGCGCTGCCACCCGCAAGGACATGTTTGAGGTGCGCAGCAGACGGAGCACGTGCTCTTCCGCATGAGCTTGGGGCTGCAGCTCCTGTCGCGACTCCTGCCCCGGAGAGCTGGGCTGTTCCTTCTGTGCAGCTGCTAGGGCCCTCTTTCCCCTCTAGCACAAGCCCGATTTGCGTTTTTGGATTAGCCCCATCCTGTTTCCTTCTGACCTCCGCCCCTCCCCTGTTGGAGGAGGCTCAAGGTCCGGAATTTACACCGGCTCCAAGGCCAGGAAGAAAGATCTGAGAGATCCAAGGGAGAAAAGGTTCCCCTCTTTAGTTCTATTTATAAGGCTGCTACTCCTCCCACCAAAAGCTCCACCTTGCAGTACAGTGGCCCCATTGTGTCTCCTAGGGCTCTCCGTTTTCTCCTGTACCTGTAACAGAGCTCTTCAGTGGGAAGAGAGGAGAGTGTGCAGAGAGTGAGAAAGAATGTGTGGAGACAGTTTGTGTTAAGTAAGAGTCTGTAGAGGCATGAGAGTGTGTTGTGGGTGTGGTGTTTCCCCAGAAAGTTAACTGGGAAAATTTAGGAGTGATTCCTTAAATGTGTGCACTGGCAGTGGTTGGGAAATAGAAAATACAGAGTTTCTGCTTTCCTTTAGTTTTTGGAGAGTAGCTTCAATGTGGAAAATAAGTTACTGCTCTAATGAAATATCGTCTGAGGATATAGGGCATTTTGCTAAGGGCTACAGAGCAGATCAAGGACTTTATAAAGGGATACATCTTAAATTGTTTATACTTAAATATGGGTTTGTTTTTATCTTTTTGCCTATTCTAATTGGGCTTTACATTTGTTTTGGCTAAGGAGTAAAAGAGATGAATACTATTTTCACTCAAGTGAAGGAGGTGAGATTTAAATATGTGAGGTATAGTAGATATTCAGGTCTTGCACAGGAAGAACAGATCAGAAAAAAATAGATCAGGTGACAAAAATAGATCGGATGAGAAAAACCAAGGAAGAGAACCTCTCAGGTAGGGCAACCTGAAGGTAAGGAGAGCAAGTCCTGGAAATGGGATTAAATTCAGTTAGGTTAAAGGTCACAGGAAGCAGGTCAATTCCAGCACTCTTCCAGGTGGGATTCTTTCAGAGGCGGGCTGGTATGGCTTTTTGAGCCTGTCAAGGACCACCTTCTTCCTGCTCAGTCTCCAAACCCCGGCGCAGGGGCAGGGCACTCCCTACCTTCCCAATATCCTAGAAGGGAAAGGAAGGGCTGTGACTGGGTAGAGACTCTCAGAAACTACACAGTGTTACCAAGAGCTTAGCACTAAAAAGAAGCACTTTACCTTCTGTAGTTTAGGAGAGTTGAAAAAGTATCTTGGAAAGAAATCAGGTCTTAAGAACAAATTCTCTTTTGTGCATATGTCCTTGCTGCTGGCATCGAGCACTTTCCGGGATGGGCTCTTGAGATCTCTTCTCTAAGTGGGATCAGAGTTCCAGTAACATCTGAACAGATCCAGGCTGGCCCACTGTGATCCTGAAAACAGAAGCTAAAGACATTGAAAAGGCAAGAAAATAAAATGGCTAGGTGAGGGGACTAGGAAGCTTGCCCACCAGCTTCTAGAATTTTCCAGTGGAAGAATATCACTTAAACATTGAGGGGGTCATTTTTAGGAGGTGACTCAAATTCTTCTTTTACAGATGAGAAAACTAGTTAAATCACCTAGGGAGACCCAGTGTGATCAAGGGGCTACAGAGCACGTGACTAACTACTTAGTGGCACATGGGGACAACCAGCTGGATGCATTCATGTATTCATAATTATCAAGGGAGGAAGTGTGGGGTGGGATTATTCTTAACTCTTAAAATGGTGACGGAAATAAAAACCTGTATTCTCTTTTCTGAAACTCAGTGCAAGTGCCTTGGACAGGCTCCATGGGAAGAAGTGGACTGCCTTTAAAAGTGTATTTGTTATAAAGTGATTCAAACTAAGAGCACTTTCCACACAGTAACAATATTATAAATGGGAGGAGGTTAGTGTGGCCACCAAATGCTTTTTACCTTTGTAGCTGAGACAGCAAAATTTACATTTAAGAAATGCAGACAGTAACCTGGTAAATATTATGCAGTCAGCTAGTTAGTAGCTATCTTTATTACTAAACAAAGTCCTGTGACTATAATCTCATAATACTAATAAGTAAAAGAGAACTTGAAAAAGTCTCATTAAATGTCTTTGAAGAACTTGGCTCCAACGGTATGTGACGTGAAAAGAATGAGGACTTTCGGTTTTGGCAGGTGTGTGTTCTGAGGCTGGTTTTGCAAGTTGCGGTACCTCAGGGAATGAGTCTGGATTTGCCCTTTGCGGAGGGGCCACCCGCGCATCTGAGGAGGCTGTGAGGGTTAAGTGCCTGGCGCGCTGTCTAACACACAGTAGTCATTCAATAAAAATGTGTCCTTTACCCGGGTCTTTGTGAGCAAAAGCTGATTAACTATCAAGATGGCAAAATGTTAAATTTTTCTGGGGAATTTTCTGGGCACTTTCAAGGTCCTGAAGGTTGGTAGCCCTAGTATTTTCACTTCAGACTTAAGCTTTTGGGTAAAAAGGAAACACCACAAAGGGAGACTACCTCTGGGGAGGACAATGTGGGTGGATGATGTGAGAGAGCTGTTCCTTTTCATTTAATGCCCTTCTGTGCATTTAAAATGCTTTGCGCAATGACTATGAATTTTATAGTAAATAAAAAAGGAATTAAGGGAAGGGAAAAACTCTAAATACATGATTTTTAGATTGTTGTAATCAGAAATTCAGGTTTTTAAAATTGCTATAGTGTCATCTTAATTACTATTTTCAGTGGGTACATAATGTTTATAATTTATCTATTGCCATTTAATGTTATATTGCTTTG